TCTTGCTTTTTCTTGGTCCACTCTCCCTATGGAAGAATTCTTTAGCCTGAAGACTTGATAAGTCTGTCAGCCAGAATGCTGGGAGCCAAGCTGAGAAGGGAGACCTGAAGAGTTTCAATATGAATATGGACTTAACCTCCTTGGGCCAAGTTTAGTTCTGAGCTCTTCTGTTAGGACAGGGTGGGTTAATTCCAGGGCCTTGACATGATTCAGCTCTGTTTTTTAATATGTCCATTCAGGCAAAATATTGGAAAAAGATGAAAATCTCCAAGTCTTACATCTAACCCGAATTCTTTGTATAAGCCTTTAAGTGACACTTCTGACAGTGTATTCCAGGTGCTTGTGAGCTTATATATCTATATGATATGTTTCTTGAATATAAACATTTAAGTACTTAGCCAGTTTTATAAGTCAGTTTCCCCCCAAATTGGACCTAAGGCAAAAATTTGAATATTCATTTATTTTGCTTAGTCACTGTGAGCAATTCCTGACAAAAGCAATTTAAAGGAGGAAGCAGAGACTGCTTAGTGCTCGGCTAGCTTTCTCAATTTCCTTTTCTTTTAATCTGTTGAGGTAGCTCATGGGATGCTACTTTTGGAATTCAGATGGGATTCCCTAGCCCTGTTAATCCTCTCTGAATCTGACTTTATAGATACAACCAGAGTGTAACTCCTCCACTCCTGGGTGATTCTAAATGGAAATGAAAATGAATATTAGCCATTACTATTCATGAGTGATTGTGGCATTCTCCCTGCTGAATCTAGAAAATGGGTAGAAAGCACAGTCAAGGGGAAGAAATCAGGAGAACAAATGCATCAGGAGAGATCCAGATCTCACCATGAATCCAGGGGAAGTCCTGCATCTGACTATCCTACTTGGAGTGTGCTCCAATTCCAAGGAAAAGAGAGGGGCTTGCTTTGTTTTGTGTTTTGTTTCATCGCTACACCAAATGAATCACTGGCTAAGGAACAGGGTGATTTGAGAAGTGGGGTCCAAAAATCTCCCAGGTGCTTATAGCATTTACTCCTAACAAGACGATTTCATTGCCCAGAGAGAAACTGCTGAGGATCTTGAGAAAGCTGGGGGATGAGTCTGTGAGTTGGTACAGGGCATCTTAGGAGAGCTGAGCAAGCACAATAAGTACATTCCCAAACATTCTAGACATCCCCAAATAGTCAAGGATTGTCCATTTGCCATAATTTTAAAACACATTGTTTCTTTTTTCATTTGTTATTACAATTGCTTTTCAAAATGATTTTATGATGAGTGAAGATCAATATTAGTATCCCTACTTTTAAAATGAACCAGAAAAAACTAGGACTATGTGACTATAGTATTTCTAGACTCTAAGCCTAAAGCTCATTCTGGCATCCTATGGCATATTTGAATTTCACATATACTCTTTTTATTGAGATGGGGTACATATAAGTAGCATGCATTTAATTTAGAAGTTGTAACTTTCAAAACTTGAGAAATGGGCATTATAAGAAATAAAGCAGTTTTCAGTTTTACAATAATCATTAGCATCAGGTTTGTTTTTTGATTTTTTTTTAAATCAGGGTCTTGTATTGCAAGCCATGCAGGTCTTGAACTCACTATGTAGCCCAGGTTGGCCTTTAACTCATGACCCTGCCTCAGCTGACCTAATGCAGGGATTGCAGATGTGAGCCACCATGCTCTAAATTTATTTCTTAATTATGTAAGAAAAAGATGGGTAAAGCAGCAAGGCCCATACTAAATCTTTTAATTCTTGTTATTTGTAAGGCCTCTTTTGGTGCTCTATTATTCCATTGGTTTAATTAAAGCCAGTGTGAAAGAAGCATTAAAAGTTTCCTGGAGCACTGCTGGGGTAGATTCATCTAGATTAGTCTTGGAGTTCTTCCACAATTTCCCCTTATGGTCCTATTTGCATATAAAAGTTATGACTCATGATGTTTCTGCCAAAACATGAGTAATCTTCCAAAATTAATACAAGTTACTATTACAATCTGGTATGGACACGCTAGGCCCTTTCTTCTAGTTCAAGCACTGCTTACTCAAAGAATCTGCTGTTGCCTCTGACTTTTCCTGTTAATTTTAATGTGAACTTCAACACTAATGGTGAACCTCTCGGTGCTTTGATAAATTCAGAGAAGTTGAGGGAAGGAGTCTACCCTATGGATTTATTGCAAGCCGAAGAGCTCCTATTATGCTAAATTTTCTTCTATCATTTAAACCTTTTATCCTTGCTAGATGGTCTGAAACAGGGCTTTCAAACCTGGGGACATTAAAATCAGCTCAGGAGCTTTAACATATACAGACATCCTGGCTGTGCCCCAGTCCTATTAAATCAGGCTTGTAGGCGTGGATAATAACTGCAAATAGCCTCATGTGACTCTTTTATGTGGCCAAGGCTGAACACACTGAAATAAACCAGGAAATAATCTGACAGGCTGTTGGTGTTCTATTGCATTTGACTGTCTACCATGTCTTAGAGGCAGGTGTTCCCTTCTTTTTAGGCTGAGTAGTTCTTACTTTGGTCTTACCTGGTTAGTCAACAAACCTGTTGTCACTGTGGGGATCATGGAATACCTGAGATAGATTTTGTAGGCCCCAGGAACACTTGTTTGATATAATTTGAGCACTTCAGCAAAATAATCTGTTGTATCTTACAGAATCTTCTATTGACTTCAGTACAAATATGCTTTACAGTACAAGGAATCATTTAGAAAGCTTTTAGAAAAATAACTCCCAAGTTCTATCCCTAAAAATGCTGATGTGTTTGATAAAGACTATGCAGTTTTATTATTCATTTGTTTTTAAGGTACATCTCAAGACAGTAGTACAGAAAATCTTATTTTGAAAAGTAGACTAGTTTCCTTAGTAGTTCGTGTCTCAAGCCTGAAGGAAAGAATAAGAGATATCATGACCTCACTGTGCCCTTCTACTCTGACTATTAACACATAGAATCATGTCAACTCAAAACAGTTAATCATTTTATGTAAAGTGTACACACACAGTCCCTATACCTTTGAAAACTGATGACTTCATGACTCCTTGGTATTATAATCGGTTGTATGTGACGAGAACAAAATTGTCTTTGAAGTTACGTACTCTTCATGAGTCTAATGATTATTTGTGATTTATGTAGTGTTTTCCAGAAGAGAAACTGCCCACATTTTAGTTTTAATTGACTTTGAACATTTTATGATAGTAAACTCTCATTGGAAGGATCATTTGCCTTCAAGATAGGGATGTATGACAAGGTGCTAATCATTAGGAAACATTTTCTGTTTGTCATTAATAAAACTTTGACTAAAACCTAGTAGCTACATTTGGTATATTTTTAAAATAGTCTAATTAAGGCTGAAGAGATGCTCAGCAGTTAAGAGTGCTTCCTGTTCTTGCAAGAGGACCTGGGTTTTATTCCCAGAACTATGATAGGTGACTCACAACTTCTTGTAATTTTGGTGCCAGGGAATTCCATGCCTTCTGATCTTGATACATACCTGCATGTACCTGGTACACATAAACATATGCAGACATACATAAAAATGATAAGTAAATAAAAAATTTAAAAAGTAGTTAAATTAATATTGAATGGAGTTATCCAATCTCAGAAAGAAAAAGACCTGAATGTTCTCCTCTATTCTAGACTACAAAGTATGCATGTATATATGCAAACAAATCTACATGTGGTTATAATATACATTTAGAAAGAAGAATAAGAAAGGGTAACAACACCAAAAAAGACAAAAGGTATAATACTGAGTTCACATACTTAGTTGCCGTTGTATAAGTTCTTTGAATACTCTCTTAGGTTATAACATATTTTAATGCAAAATAAATCCTTAAATGGGAAGTGCCTACATGTGATTCTACATGGGATTGTTTCCTTAGTGGGAGATCTAAATTTTAAATTATGTTTTTATTGTTTGAATATTCCTGTAGTTGTTTGTAAGTACTACCAAACAGTGTGTTTTATTTTTTCTTAACATGAATTTTAATTACACAGATAACAGAGTCTGAAGACTATTGGAAATGGGTCTAAAATAATCATAATCAAGAAATATCTGAAAATTTCTGGTAATAATAAATTATTGTCCCTAAATCTCAAAGAGTAATATGCCAGGAATTTGAAATAAGTATACTGGTTTTTTGTGGTTGTTGTTGTTGCTGTTGTTTTTTTAGTCTTTTTGAGACAGGGTCTCCCTGTAGCCCCAGCTATCCTGGAACTCACTATGTAGACCAGGCTGGCCTTGAATTCACAGAGATCCGCCTGCCTCTGCTTCCGAGTGCTGGGATTAAAGGCGTGTGCCACCACACCTAGATCTAAGCATACTGTTTTAAAAATAAGATAAAATTAAAAATTAAATTATCGATCATGTGTATTTTAATTTTAAAATCTAGTCTACATACAGATTTACTGAATAGCATATATTGGCTACTGAAAATTTTGACTTTTACATTCTATATGATGTGAGTTTCATAACTGGAAAACAAAGAAAATATTCATTTAAAATAATAAAGTATGAAATGTTCTATTAAAGTTTACGTATAGTAATGAATTAAAGCATTTATATCCATTGAATATCAATTTTCAACAACGCATGTTGATCTAAGTGTATTTTACACTTGAGAAATTAGATAAGAGTAACATGAAACCATCATGATTAATGAGATATTAAAGTTGTATATATATATTTACCTCTTTTACCTATCTAGAGAGTAAGTTTATCCCTTTGTGCCCAATGCAATGACTTTGGTTTTCCTTCCAGAAGAAATCTACAAGTAAAATATTTAGGTATAATATGTGTCTTTAAAAAAGTGTTTTGAATAGTAGGACTTGTAAATGATAAAATGATGTATTTTCTTCTATCACACAAATATGAACTAGTAATTTCTTTAGGATTTGGGTTTGAGTTTTTGTCAAACTGTTCTTTTATGCAGTGTACTATTTACAGATGGTTTGATTATACAGCGCATAGTAAAACTTGTGTCTCATGAATGCTCATGTTCAGTTTCTTGGCAGTACTGAAGTGGAACAGCCAAAAGGAACAGAAGTTGTGAGAGATGCTGTCAGGAAGCTGAAGGTAAAGAAAGCTCTTAAAAAAAATGGCTGAAGTATTGATCGTGATCTTCTCATGTTATAAGCAGACTAATGAAACTCAAAACCTAAATAGCTTTGTGGTAGGTGTAGCTTTGTCATTTTAATAAGAAACTATTGGGAACAGGAGAGATGCCTCAGCAGCTGAGTCCATCCTGCTCTTTCAGAAGCCCTGATTTTGGTTCCCAACTCACAACTGCCTATTATTATAGCTCCAGAGGACCCAATGCCCTTTTCTGGTCTCCATGGGCAACTGTACTTACATAGTGTATACTCACCTAGTACACATAAACAAAATTGTGAAAATGAACGACGAATGAATAATGGCAGTTCAAGAAGATATTTTGAATAATTAGCATATGTACTAATTATGTTACCATATATGGTATACTATGTATTTTTAAAGTATAATTT